CTTTCCCTAGGTCTCTGAATGGTGGCTCCTCATTCAGAGAGGTCTCCTCTAAAGCAGCCTTCACCCTTTCCTCAACAGCCACGCATATGCTCCACAGCACTTAGCACCATCTGGAACCCCACTACTTCTGTGCTTCCCGCTCTCTCTCCTGCCACCAGAATACAGACCGTGAGGGCAGAGACTGGGTTGGGCTTGCTCAACACCATATCCAGCACGCGGCATGGGGCCCAAACAGGATGAGCAACGCTGAAACACTGTCGAATGAGTCAATGAAAGTGTGCGTGAAGAGGCGGCGCAGTATTCCCCTAGGGAGCTCTCCAGAGCAGAGGGTGTATCTGTTTATCCCTGTGTACTGATGCCTTGCACAGAGCCCTAATGTCTGTTTTTGACCTATGCTTGGCTCCAAGAACACCCTAGAAGTCTCCTGGGAGTGACGTGACACCTCAGCCCCTCATCCCTCACCCCCTTGTCCTCTCCACCCTCCAACCCACAGCTCTCTCACCTGACAGGAAGAAGACCACCACGACGGAGTTAATGATAGAAAACCAGTGGATCTGTACATCACTCATGGTCAGGTAAGTGTCCCAGCGAGAGGCCCATTTGATGTCACTCTCCTGGTGGGGGAAGGAAGCACTTGAGAGTCAGGCCTCCACCCTGGCAACTCCTGCTCGGCCCAGAGCCCTCCTCCCCTGCCGTGGGCTCCAGCCCCTTCTCACCTCCCAGTGCACGGAGTAGGTGAAGTGCAGCTGATTCTCCTTGGTGGGGTCAATTTCTTGGGGCGAGGAGTTGGTACCCTCAGGCAGGGTGCATGAGCTCTTCTCGTCTGTTTTGAGGTCTGTGAGAGACAGAGACTCAGTCTGTTCCTGCAAGGGCTGGTGCCACTACCCAGGGACTGTTCTGCGGGTCCCCTCAGAGGCAGCGTGCGGCGGAGCAGTGGCTGGGAGAACAGCTGGCAACCAGAGCTTTAAAACTGTGTTCCCTTGGATGGGGTGGGGAGGGTGGGAGGGAGCCCCAAGAGGGAGGGGATATAGGTATACATAGAGCTGATTCACTTTATTGTACAGCAGAAACTAACGCAGCATTTTAAAGCAATTATAATCTAATAAAGATGAAAAAACAAAAACAAAAAAAGAAACAAAAAACTGTGCTTCCCAGAGCCCTGACTTCCCAAAGGGCCTTAGGGGCTGCAGAGAGGTGTGTGTGGGGAGGGGTCTGAGTCCCTATTTAGTCAAACGAATTCTTCCTTCACTCAATTCAAACATTCATTTGCTCATTCAGTCCCATTCAACAGGCAAAAACAACACTGACTCACTCTGTCATAAGTTCGCTCACTCATTTAGTCCCCAGAGTCCTGGCACTTTAGTAATTCAATCACTCCGATGCTTCCTTCCTTCATTTACACATTTGTTCATCCTGCTATCTGTCCATTCATTCAACCAACAAACGTACAATAAATAAGCACCTACTATGTGCCAGGTACTGTGCTGGAGAGAAAGTGGTGAGAAAAGGAGACAGGGTCTCTAACTTCGAAGAGCCAGTGGGGGAGCAGCTGCTGTCAAACACTCACACAGTAAATGTCAAGCTGTAACCATGACACAGACGGGAGGGGAGGAGAGGCAGTATGATGCCCCGGAGGTGCAGGGTCTATGTTTTACGTAAGACTTCTGCGTATGACTCTGTTTGACTACGAGGTTCCACAGCTTAAAAAAACTCCAGAAACTCACCACCACTGTGGACAAAAGGCCAGGCATGCTAAATGGAAGTGCGCCCTGTGGTGAGCTAGGGCTGCCAGGCAAGGTGAGGCCAACCAGATCCTGTCAGGCCCACAAGGCTGGGCCTGGGCTCTCAAATTCCTGCACAGCTGTTGACCCGGGGCCAAGTTTAGTCTACGCCAATCACTCACATAGAGGAGCAGAAACACTGAAACCTGCTGCCCAACAGCTCTGTCGGTACCCCTGCCCCTTGTTCTTCAACCCTTTGCTCTTGAGCTGGCTGGTTCTTGTGATAGGCCCAGCAAAGCCCCAAACTGCTGTTTGGTCTTGGCCAAGTCACTGACCTCTCTGAGCCTCCGGTTCCTATCATAATCAGCACATTACCTCCTGGGGGGGGGGGGCTGGGAGGTGGTAAGCTGGTAAGGTGCTGTGCCAGGCCAGGAGACACCATGTCAGCTCTCCCACTGCCCCCCACCTTGCCCATTTCCCCCCGGGGGGGGGGGGGCTGGGAGGTGGTAAGCTGGTAAGGTGCTGTGCCAGGCCAGGAGACACCATGTCAGCTCTCCCACTGCCCCCCACCTTCTCTAATGGGAATGTAGTGACCCCACCTTGGCTGGGCCCGTATGCCACACTGGGGCCTATCAGCCATTTCAGGAATCAAGGGTGCAAAGACCCTGGGTGTGAAGCCCAGGCCCGTCCAGCCCTGCCCCTCTGGTCACACCTCCCCACTCACCCTCCAGCCTGATGCTCTGGGGAATCACCTCGAAGCGGACGACGCGGTATGTGTGCTCCTGGTCCTCTTCCAGGTCCTCCCGGTGGTAGTAAAGGATGAACGAGAGGTGATTGTGCAGGTAGATCTAAAACAGAGCAACAAAGAGAACAAAATAGCTAGGAGCCAAGAAACCACCAGAAAAATCACACAGGGTGACCAGCCAGGTATTAGGTCCCTTCCCTCATCTAGCAGACCCAACTGTACCAGCGTTCCAAAAACACTGCTCTTATAGCAACCCGCTACTCATGCGCCCTCCAGGGCTCTGTGGCGCTTACTCGGTACAAGTTCAGACCCCTTAGGCTGGTATTCAAGGCCTTCTGTCACCCTAACATACCCAGCTGCCATCACCCTCTTAGACATGTTAGTTCGCCTGGTCTCCCTGGGTCCCTCCCTGCCCCGTGAACAGTCCCCATCCTGAACTCCGTTCACGGCATTCACTTAACTAGAATGCCGTCCCAACTTCACTCAGCTCAAGCCTACCTATTTTTCAAGGCCTACCTCCTCTGGGACAATTAGCTCCCTCTGAACTCCTCTGGCCCTGACCGTCAAAGCACTGGCACGGTCAGGATTGGGACTTAAGATCCAGGATCTTATACTGCCAGTTCTCTTCCCAGTTATGAAAGAAGCCCCTGGAGGACAGGGACTGTGCCTCAAAAGAAATGCTTTTGTTCTTTATTCCCTAAGTAATATATGTTTAGTTTAGAAAATGACAAATATAAGAGAATCACTGTTACAATCAATGCCATTAGCATATTTCTCAGTGGCTGTGCTATAAAGTGCTTACACAGATTATCTGATTTACTCTGCATGACAACCCCAAAAGGCAGGTATGGCTGTAACATACGTTTTACAGATAAGGAACCCAAGGCTTAGAGAGGTGAAAGAGGTAGGCTTAAGGTAAGTGGTGAAGGCAGGATTCAAAACCCAGGGAACCTGCATGCTGTTGACCACTGCTGAGCTCTCTCTCTTTTACATACTGATGAAGTTCCAGACTTCCTTTTTTTTTGGGGGGGGGTGGTTAATTTTATAATCCATATAATCATATATTTATGTGGAGTCTGAGTTTTTAGGCACTGTGCCTTCCACCTCCTGTGTAGCATCCGCCAGAGCCCAGGCCACAGCACTCAGACTTCTGACAGGCCATGGCCGGGGGCACCAGGAGGAACTTGTCTTGGCCATCCCCACCTTTCCTAAGCCTAGAGCTACATGTTTCCCCCTCCTCTGTGGCCCCAAGTGCTCGTGACTTTGGGCAGTGGCTCCCCCGCCCTCTGAGCACATCGAGACACCCCACCTTGCTGGCGTCTGTGAAGCCGAGCCGGTAGCCATGTTCAAACTGCACGTCCTTCTCCTTCTTCTTGTCGTCGCCGTCGCGGCTGGGGTAGAGCTCCAGCCGGGTGGCCACGGGCAGGTTGTCTGCAATGCTGGAAACCCAAGGCCCGCTCAGTCCCTCAGACCGCCTCTCCCTCAGTGCCCTCCCCTATGGAGCTCGAGGCTGGCAGGGAGCAGAGGAAAACTCACAGGTGGACATAGTAGTCCTCTGAGATCCGCTCGGCCACGAGCCGGCTCTGTTCCACGGTCAGGGTCACCGGCTTATTGGACTGGCTGCACAGAACCTCACACTTCTTTTCGCTGTTCATGAGAACCTGGAAAGGGGTGTTGACAATCCGGTCCCCTCTCAGCACCTCTCCTGCCATAAGAGAGACAGATGGAGCTCAGAGCTTCAGCCCTGAGGTTGCTGAGGTCAGCAGAGCCACGGAGACACAGGGCCCACCTGCAGGGCCTTCAGCAGTCCTGCAGCCTGGCACTCAATGCGTTGCCCTGCCTGTTCAGGCCAGGCTTGCCCACCTGACACCCCCCTGTTGTCCCTCCTCTCCCTTTGTGCTCTAGCACCACCAGACTCTCCAGAGGACGTCAAACATGCCGCATCATTCCGTGCCTCTGGGCCTCATGTCGTTTCCTTTGCTTGGAGTGCCATTCCCTGCCCCACATTCCTGGGAAACTCTTCCTCACCCTTCAAGCTCAGCTTCTATTCCACTCTCCGGGAAGCCCTTCCTGACCTCCTTAGGACTGAGTTCGTGACTCCCTCCTCGGACTGCCCTCTGCATAGAGGCAGCATCGTACAGTGGTGAAGAGAGGGCTATTGAACCCTGGCTCTGCCACTGACTAGCTTAGCAGTCTTGGTAAGTACTTACACCTCAATGAGCCTCAATTTCCTCATCTGTAAAATGGGGATAATAGTACCCATCTCACAGGGTTACAGTGAGAAATAAAGTACCAGGCACAGAGTGGGAAGACAACAAATACTATTTTTATCACCAGCATCGCTTCTGCACCTTTTCATATGTCAATGATGTGACTTTGCACAATATGTTGATAGGTTAAGTTTCTGCCCTCATACCTCATTATGAGCTCTTTAAGGGCAGATAATGTTTCCTATTTATTTCTCTGTCTTCAGATCCTGGTTCAGGGAGGAAGGGAGGTAGGGTAAAATCCAGCACCTGAGATTTTCAGCCAAAACATCTTTTTAACTTAACAAACTGGCACACCCCTTGCATGCCTACTGCCTCAGAGAAACCTGCTGCCAGATGTTCCAAGAGCAGGCACCGAGCAGTTAGGGCCTGTCAACTAAACCCAATGGTGCTTCCATTCTGAGCCATTCTAACACTTCTACTGGGATGAGGTGGAACTGGGGCAAGCTGAAGGAGACCTACCAAAGCCCACAGGCGGCACTAATGCCCACACATGCCTGGTCTAACAGCTGCCTACCAGTGTGGACCCGCTTGATGTGGGACTCTTGGCCTAGTCATTCATTCGTTCATTCATTCATTCCTTCCCAAACATCCACTGGATATTGGTTATGTGCTGGGCTCTGAAGAAATAATGTTGAACAGACATACGGAGCTTATGGTCTAGTGGAAAGACAGATTGATTAATCAGGATAATGAGAAGGTATAGTACAATATGAGGAACTTGCTCTAGATGTGGGGGAGTAGGTCTATGACAGCTTCTCTGAGGAAGTAATGCTTGAAGTGAGCTCTAAAGGAAGAGAGCCTTAACTAGGCAAAGAGATAGGGGAAGACTATGCTAGACAGAAGGGAACAGCACGCACAAAGGATCCCTGTCTGGTTGGGGGGCGGGGGGAAGGCAGGGGGATGACACAGTAAATGTAAGAGGCCTGTGCGGTTGCAGTGCACACGGCAAGGGTGACTTGAGGCGCACTGGAGAGACGGGCTGGAGCTGGACCTCAGGGGGCCTGTGGGCCAACGGGAAGTTTGATTTCTATCGAGAGAGCCACAAAAACCAATAAAGGATTTCTAACAGGGGCGGCAGAAGACATTATCCAATTCTGGTTACAGATCACTCTGGCTGTTTTGTGAAGAAAATATCGAAGATGCACGGAACTGGCTGGGGGCGATGGCAGTCAGCTATGCAAGTGGGCGGTGATGGTGGCTGGATTAGAGGGTATAGTGAGGGCGGAAACAAGTACACAGATTCAGGAGCTACTGAGGAGGTGAAATCTAGGGGGGCTGGTGCTGGCTGACACAAAGGGTGAGTGTGGAGCGGTGCATATCAGGAAGACCATGAGGCTTCTACAACCAAGTTCCAGTTGGGGGGAAAATGGGAAAAACAGCAAATTTAGACTGAAGGCATTTTTTCAGTTTGGATAAGTCAAGTGGCTATATCAAGCAGGCAGTCAGATATCCGAATTTGAGGGTCAGAGGAAAGGTCAGGGCTATAGATAGAAGCTGCGAGTTGCTGGGATACAGATGGTAGGTGGCAGGGCCACAAGCTTTACCACAGTGGGGAGAACCACTCAGCTGTGCAAAGTAGCACTCTGACAAGAGTGGATGAGGCCACTCAGGAGAGGGGGGAGGGTGAAAAGGCGCCTGGATGAAGGTCTCTACACCTCTCCCCCGCTCTCCCCCTCCTTTAGAAGGCTAGTTATGCAGGTGAGTCTGCAAAACCCAGGGATGGACTGGCCAGTGGGAGGGCAAGAACACCAATAAGATATCTGCATGGTCCACTGCTGAAATGATCTGGGTCATCCTCTGCCATTTTACATATGACAATGTTGAGAACCAGACCCAGATAGTGACTAGCCTATGACAGTGACTGTGGTAGTGCTAAGCCCCTGGGCTCTTTCCTCTACACCACGCCTTACCACTCACTTCTTTTCAGTAAGGTCAATAAGGAGCTCACTTGAGGAAAGGAAGAACATACAGAGAGAGGAACAGGGCTGAAGATCAAGGAAGGTGGGTATCACTTCTTGATATTTAGAAATTATTGATACATTTAAACCAAGAAAGAAGACATACTGGCCTGGAACAGCTCATTTCTAATACAGAAGTATTCATTTTAATTTTTAAAGCTGGAAGCAGCCAGCCAGCCACACTAAACGAGCAACAAGCTGAGTGGACCCTCTAAGCGAGTCTGATGTTATACTCTAGTACAGCTGCCGCAGACATGCCCCCACCCCCCCGCCACGATATGAATCTCCACCAACATGATAATCGGGAGCACAGCCCTTGGACAGCCCAAATGAACCTTTCTGGAAAAGGCAGTCTGGACAACAGAAAGAATTCTGTTTTTAGAGTTAAAAAAGCGGGGTTAAGATCTCAATTTCTCTACCCATTGACCATGTGACCACAAGCAAGTTTTTCAAACCTCTGAAGCTGCTGTGCCCTCTACTATGGCATGGGGGCCATCATACCTGGCTTTGCTGAGTTACAGTCGGAACCAAGTAAGACAGTGCGCAGAGTGTACTGCTTAAGGCTATGGACCCTGAAGCCAGAGTTCCTGGGCTCTGCCACCAACTCAGCGAGTGACCTGTAGCAAGTGACTTTACCTCCTGTGCCTCACTTCTGTTATCTGTGATAAGGGGATAGCAAGAGTAGCTACCTCAGAGGGCTGTTGTGAGAATTAACTAAGGTAAGCACAGACGTGCTTAGAACAATGCCTGGCTCACTGTTAGAGCCCTTTAAGTATTAACAGCGATGATGATGAGGACATAGAGTACAAGGCTTGCGACCCAACAGGCATTCAATCAAGGCTGTTTCTGCTCCAATCAGGGAGGACGATAACTTTTACTGAATGACAACTATGTGTCAGACACTGGGTCAGAAGTGGCAGAGAGAGACACATGTAAGACATGATCCCGCTGCTCAAAGAGCCCCTAGGCCACAGAGGGAGGCACTACACAAAGCTGGAATGAGATACAGTGTGGCAGGATAACTTCTGTACACGGAAGTTTCCATTTCTATGAGGCAGGAACATTCCCCAGCTTCACGGAGGTTAAGGTTCCAAGTTTTTATCTCCAGGACTTAACACTGAGATGGCAGAGTAAGTACTAATAACCATGTCCTCAATAGAGGCCACCAAATGTCTTTTCCTTTAAGCCTGAAATTCCACCAAATGAAGAATTATTTGAATTAAAACAAAATGGCTGCTATTTATGAACACATATGCCAGACACTGCACTGGGTGCTTCACACATTATTTGAGGCAAGGCCTGCACAGCTTAGCAAGAACTATGGTGATGTCCCTGATTCCATTAGGGCCAGAGATAATCACTCATTCTTTTAATTAAAAGCAGAGCAGGTTACAGAAGCCACAAGAAACAGAAGGCGCTATCTAGAAATCAAGGAGAGCCAGTCGAAGCAGCAGCCAAGGGCTCCAGCTCTGAAGCCTGACTACATGGATTCCAAGACTAGTTTAGCCATTAATTAACAGTATAACCAGAGGCAAGTCACTTACCCTGCAAAATGGGAATAAACACCACAACTACCTCCTTTGGGATGTTATGAGGATTAAATAAGCTAATCTGTATATAAACTATGTAGAATGGTGTACAGCACACAGTAGGTGCTATATAAGGATTAACTGCTATTAACATTATGAAAAGATCTGGGTTCTTCTTTGGGATAGCGTGACAGCAGTGTGAGAGAAGAACTTACCCAGATTCTCTGCCTTGTAGGTTATTTTGCTGGGCTGGCAGAAGGGCAGTGAGTAGTATTCATAAGGCAGCTGGGTGCGAGAGCTGGTGAGCTTCACAGCCTAGTGGGAGAAGGGAGGCCATTATTCCTCAACCCAGAAATCAAGATGACTGTTTCAGTAATCCTCCCTGGTACCCACTCATCTTTAGTATACTCGGCATTATTACCTAATAAGCAAACTAACCGCAGCAGACACAACTCTGGTATACTACACAATACAATTATTTCGCAGTTCACTAGTTTTAGATTACATTATAGATTTTGTTTAAAATCACAACCAAATCCAATATATACTCAGAGTCCTTAACATGTTTATATCCTTTGACCCTATAATTTCACTTCTGGGTATCTTTCCTAAGGAAATAACTCCGAATAAGGGAAAAAACTTCAGGAACAAAGAGCTCACTCCTCATTCCTAACCACAGTGGTCTTCTGCCTCTAGTTCCTTGAGCCTGACCAGCTCTCTCCTGCTTCAGGCTTTGAACCTGCTCCTCTCTGCCCGACTCTCTGACTCCTTCTCACATTTGGTCTCAGCTTAAATCCCCTCACCTTCGAGTCCTTTCCTAATCATCTTATCAAAGGAATTCCCTCATCTTCTGTATTTCAACACTTCTAGTTATCTTTGTAGCACGTCTGATAAAATGCAATTATTTTATGTTTTTGTTTTCTTTTTCCAGAGAAATCAGCCTCCCCTACTAGAATTTAAGATTAAGCTCCATGAGGGCAAGGACCATATGTGTCTTGCTTACGTATGTAACCACCGTGCCTAGAGATCTAGGTACACAGTAGGTGCTCGATAAATGTTTGCACAATGAAAAAAGAGAGAAAAAAATGGAAAAACAGCTAAAAGCCCCATAATGGGAAATTGGTCAGTAAACCACAATATATTCGTTCAATTAAATATTATGCAACCATTAAAGATGAAGTTTAAGAAGACCATGAAGAAGAACATTTAGGAAGTGACGCAAGCACACAGAATGCAGCTCTGGAAACAGTGACAGCCACAGACAACTCCCCAAAACATGGATAAAATAGAACCAGTCAAAATGTTGCAAAAAAAAAATTTAATTAATTAATCAATTAATTATTTTAAAGTTTTTTTTGATGTGGACAATTTTTAAAGTCCTTACTGCAGTTGTTACAATATTGCTTCTGTTTTGTTTTGGTTTTTTGGCTGCGAGGCATATGGGATCTAAGCTCCCCGACCAGGGATTGAACCCACAACCCCCTGCATTGGAAGGCGAAGTCTTAACCACTGGACAGCCAGGGAAGTCCCAAATTTTAATTTAAATGCAACTAAAATTATCTTTGCTATTTAAAAACTAGCAACCATTCCTCATACACCATCTGAAAGTATAAATAGTTTTTAGAATCCAGGTCCACAATCCTTACTTAAATTTCTTGCTTTGGAATTAGGAATTTTTCTAACTTTAAAAGAGCAATGTGGTATATTATAAAACCATGGGTTTTATAACACCCCCCAGCTGGGTCTGGAGCAGTACCCCACATTCAATGACAAGTAAACGCAAAAATATTCATACTAAGTGGGAAAAATAAAGTTAATAAACAGTTCAGGTCAGGTCTCGCCTACAATGAGAAACTCAGAAAAACTCTTAAGTTTCAGAGCTTTTTAGATGTTGGATTGAAGGACGGGGGACCTCTATTAAGCATCTCATGAACTGCTTGAGGCAAAATGACCAAAAAGTTATTATCTGTTATAATAGCCTGTTATTTTGTGTTTCTTAGTATTCTCTCCTTCTGGACAATCAAAAAAGAATCCACATTACAAAGAAACTGAGTCTCACCTTTATGTCCCCTCCCGCCCTCTCCCTTCCCACCCAAGGTGTAGCTCTCACATGCCCGGCTTGGCAGGACTGAAGCCAGAGCCACCCTGTCCTCCCCATGCCACAAGCTTTGCTCTGGAGGGGGCTTCTGCCAGAGGCACTGGGAGGAAGAGTACTGCGGCGGTTAAGAGCCGGGCTCTGAACTAACCCTATGTCTCCCTCACAATGTGACCTTGGGCAAGTTGGTTCACTTCCTTGGGCCGCAGTTTCTGTAACTGTAAAATGTTCAGTGAATCTCTAAAACATACAGTATCTGACTCAGAGGGCTCTTAGGGGGCATCTTGAGCCAAGCCATGCATAATGCCTGGCATGTAAATAATCCTCAATAAAGGTGACTTTAATTATCGTTCCCGAAAATTACAAGTCTGACTTCCAAGGAAGAGGGATGCTCACAGTAATGCAGCACATGGAATGGTGCATTTGCTTGTTACTACTACATAGTTCTAAATGCAGACACTTTCTAATAGTCATTGATCATATGTATTTATCCACCTTACCAGGCTATGTACTAGGAGCTGGTGACACAGCAGCAACCGAGAAAGATAATATCCCAGCCCTGGGAGAACTTGATTCGTGGTAGTTTTCGTTTTCCCACAAATGTGTTATATTTTTAACCTCTAAACTGGTTAACTCCCCCTGGATAATGAAAAGTTGCTTTGCATCTAATGCCCCAAATAAGCATGACATGTAGCAATTTATAATTTTGCAAATGCCCAAAATGTGGTGGCAAACAAAGGCACATGTACATGACAGCGTGTCAGGTGGATGGCCCTTTGTGATTTTCTGGGCTTCTGTTTCCCCTTTTGAACACTGTGATGCTTAGGACAGCTTAAAACTTTATTTTCACACAATCTCACTGCTTTGCTTTTGCACAGACCAGTGAAGATGTGGTTCCCATCAACAAGAAATGTACATTTTAATAGCAGAATTTATTTTCATTGCTTTATAACTTTTGCTAGACCTTTGTACAGAATCACTAAGGATTTGCAGGACTACTTAAAAACTATACGTTATTTTGCCTATGGGGGACCAATGTGGTAGTCAAGAAGCTGGGGGTTTATGGAAGTGTGAGAATGCCGAGTCCCCTACACTGTAAACACTGCATAGAAAAAAAGATTAAGAAAAAAAATAACCCATATTAAGAGTGGTTATATTTGGGTGATGGTAGAGAGGAGTCCTTATAGCTGGGAGCTCTGGAACAAGGTCACACCCCTTGTCTGGTGGCCACTCCTCTTGCCTCAATGTGGGAGAACTCTGCAGCTGGCCACTCCAGTTCCAGAGCCTTCCATAGGACTCTGTTGTATCACAGCTTAATATCTCCTTCTGCCCAGTCCTGCTTCCCTTACTCCCTCCCGAGTGCCGACCCGGAGCGCCTAGTCAATAAATCTCTTGCACCAAATCTCCACCTTAGAGTTTGTTTCCTGGGAAATGAGATCCAAGAAGATCCACCACCAACCCTCAGCCGTGTTTAGGGCTCTGAGAATGCCACCAAGAGTCCAAGACATTAACCAAGGTGCCAGCCTGCCCACTGCCCCGATCAACCATATTTTAAAGGACTCTCCCATAACCCTGTCACAGGTGATTGACCCACAGGTGGGCATCTAGGCTGACAAGGTGAGGTGGCCCAGTTGGCTGTTCTTCTGGACTCTGATTTAGGGCAATGCTTTCAAATCCTAATCACTCATGTACCAACTTGCCCTATCTACTTACCATTTATTCTGCTATTTTCTTGGATATGATTCATTTTTTAGGTAAATGCCTTTCTTTAAGAAGCAAACATTTTGGGCTTCCCTGGTGGTGCAGTGGTTGAGAGTCCGCCTGCTGATGCAGGGGACACGGGTTCGTGCCCCAGTCCGGGAAGATCCCACATGCTACGGAGCGGCTGGGCCCGTGAGCCATGGCTGCTGAGCCTGCACATCCGGAGCCTGTGCTCCGCAACGGGAGAGGCCACAACAGTGAGAGGCCCGCGTACCGCAAAAAAAA